TATCGAGGAGCTTTGCCTCAAAGAGGCTCCCCACTGCTAGCTTGCGTTTAGCTTTGACAAGGAGATTGCAACCTAGGCATGGAACGAAGTCGTGTTTATGGTTGACATGTGTGGAGGTGACCTCGGTTTCTGTGCTAAAGACAGAGATGAGGAGTTTCATGTGCTTTGCAAGGCATGTGGCTGTAGACAGCCCCCTTCCGCAGTGTTGGCTTTGGCTCAAAAAATTCTCGGGGCCAAGAACCCCACAAGTCGTGGTCCGCCCCTCAACCTCGCAAAGTGTTCACAACGCAGTCCCTTCTTGGTCTCCATGATGCTAAGGCCAGCAGAAGACATGCCCCGAAGGCGCAGGAGAGCTGGGAGTATGCTCCTAAACCCTAAACCCTAAACCCTAAACCCTAAACCCTAAACCCAAAACCCAAAACCCTTCGCTCAACGCGTGACTGAGACTTGGCGTCCCAGGACTGGAGCCACCGTCGCCGTCGCAGCCACACAGGCTCGCGTGCGCAACAGCCAATACACCTGTCAACTGTGTTTTGCGATGGCCCATCTGCCAGGTCACCGCTGGACTTTCTCCTTCTTCCCCCTTGACAGCGGAAGATGAGGACCAACCAGTGCAAGTACTATCGAATGTTGCAAGTACAAGTCGTCCCATGCTCGGCTCGAGCGACTGGCACTTGTCAATTGGAGCCAAACTGGTAGCTGAGAAAGCAGGAGCGGTCCATGCGCACTCAAGTCTTCGAGAAGACAAAGATGTGCTGGTTCCTGAGCTTTCTGCGGCCCTAAGCACGAGTTGGATGAGATGTCTCGGAGCGCAGCATGACTTGCCGGAGGCAAATTCCACATTTTGGGCGCCTGCACCAAGGCATGGGTGCGGTGTCCTTGTCAGCTCTTTCAACCACAATCTCAGTGAAGCTGTACTTGCAACCCCCTATGCAGTCTTCCTATGGGGTCATGATTGAACCCTACAAACCCCAAAAGGTTCGAAACCCGAATCGTGCAAGGGAGGTGGGTAGGGCGACTGTGCCCAGGGGAGCAGCTGCCGCTTTGCGCACTCCCAGTCGCTGAGCCAAGTGACGGTTTGTTGGCGGAGCACCTGCACTCTTGTGAGTTGGTTCCCCTTGTGTGTGCACTGGTTTTCAGGGTAGGAGAGCTCTGGTTATCAAGCACCCCCCCCCCCCCACAAAAGGGGCCTGTCCCAAATGTAGAACACCCCCCCCCCCCCCCAAAAAAAAAAAAAAAAAAAAGGAGAGAGAAAAAGAAGCTGCATCGGACGCGACACCAGGTCGGAGTTGCAGTGCCTCCCCGATCTGGTGCAGTGCTCAGAGTGGCTCTGGGAGAGGCAAAAGTGGTTCTTAGTGGTAGGGAATTGGGGGAATGAGGTGCCCTACACATGGTGTTCTCATGAAGTGCATGGAGTTCCCTCTACTTCCCTACTAAGAGCTAGCAAGTCGAATTCGTGGAGTCGAAGCCCTGCCCAGGCGTGCACCAAACTTTGCAAGACCTTGATCGCCACTGGTGGCTGTGATAATCCCGACTGCCGATACGCTCACAGCCAGGAGGAGCATCACTTCCTGTGAGTCCTTAGTCCTAAGGCCCTAAGGGGCGTTTAGGGGGGTTCTTTTTCAGACGGCGCGCCGCGAGCTGTGACAAGTCTGAGCTCCTGAGCTCTGTCCCTTACCCCACGGTTGTGACTTGAAGTTCTTGGAGAGCTGGAGCCCCTAAACCCTAATCCCTAAACCTAAACCCTAAACCCTAAACCCCAAACCCTAAACCCTAAACCCTAAACCCCAAACCCTAAACCCTAAACCCTAAAGGCTTGAAAGTGTACTTGAGGCAATACCGGATGAACAGATGTATAAGTGTTTCGTTCTGAATTGGGCGAGGGCTTGCCTTTGCAGGAGCTGCGGCCACTGCCCTTCCCTGATGTTGAACGTGAGAAGGACATGGTTATCGTGGTTGTATATTTACACAGTTGCTGTCTTCATGCCGGATGCTTTAAGGCACACGCTGCACTGGACTTTGCCAAGACATGAGGCAGTCAGTTTGACATGATTACGCAGGACATGCGGCACTTTGAACTGCCGCATCTCAGCCGCAGTCAGCATGTGTCAATGCCAGCCGACTTGGTTTGATGGAGACAACTGCTTGCAGGGTAAGTCGCTAGCAACCTGTCTTGGGCCCAAGTGGAGACTTACGTTCTTTCGACCTTATGGTTTGAAACGCTAGTGCCGCGGTACTGTACCTTTCATACTGCGCTTTGGCGCCTCGTGCGCTCAGTAAGAAACTACGCACCTTGGCTAGATTATCTATCAGCAGCTTCTGAATTTGAGAAAAGTTGTCCATCATCATCATCATCACCCTCATCATCATTAGACAGAAAGTACCTGTTACAATGCATGTGTGTGTGTGTATATATATATATATATTGCGCGACAAACCCCACGACATACGTATGAAACAAGTGGGCGCGACATACGTATGTAACACAGGCGGGGGTCGGGACACCGCGACATACCCCTATTTAGAGCCACAGCCATATCGATATATTATATGTATACGTACATATGTATATATATATATATATACACATACGGATATATCCTCATTCTCTCAGGCTGGCCGCGGGCGAGGTCCGACCTGGTGTCCGGCGCAGTCCGGGCCTTGCCAGGGTGTGGAAACTGCTTCACGGTATATGGACATGTGTATGCATGTACGATTGTATTGTATTGTATTGTATTGTAATGTAATGTATTGTATTGTATTGTATTGTATTGTATTGTATTGTATTGTATTGTATTGTATATTCACATGATCTTATATTTGAGTTATATATCAGATATTGTATATTACACATTATGTATTGTATATCGCACATTATATACTCTATGTTGCATGTCATATGGTGGTATATTATATTCCGTATCATATTGGCTGCTTCTGTCATTGTGCGTCATGGGCGTTGCAGAAAAGGGTCTTGCCAAACCAGCAGTTCCAGGAGCTGTCCGTTCAAGATGCCACGTTGCTGTCATTTGCCTGTGCCGGACTTCGTTTATGTCTTTTACTTCTGCTGGTGGGGATGCTTGTTGTTGTGGTGTTCCAACTATGTCTTATTTTCCAGATGTTCACCACGTCCCGTATGCGAAGCTCTAAAGCCTCTTCATTACGTGAACCAACTCGCTCTTTCATTGGACACCTGCCTGTGCTGGTTGTTCCTAGTTGCAGTCTGGACAAAGGCTCCTCAGCCATGTCGATGACGGCTCTGCAAAAGGACAAGGCCATTGCACCTCTAATTATAAGAGAGCTGCAGGAGTTTGAGTATGAAGCACAAGGAAGTTGAAGGGCAGAAACCGGCACGCCGTCAGGCATTCCAGACCTTCATGCAGATAGGTCAGGCAGCTCAGGCCAGGGCGCCTCTCAACCGATTGGGGTGTACTTCAGTGTATTGAGGGTTCTCGTTTCTTGCGCAGCGGGGGTACAGAAAGTCCAGGGGTCAAAGAAGGAGGCGGTCCAGCAAACGGAGTGCCAGGCGCATGCTGCAGAGGCGCGACGCCTACATGCTGCCGCTGCAGAGATCCAGGCCCATGGTTTGGCGCGATCTGGCGCGTCGGACCTGTGGGTCCAGCCGTGCCAAGATGCAAAGTGCTCTTCATTCCAGGGTGTTTCAGGGACATTTCTGTACCTGCAAGGAAGCATCTCTGTAAGCATTGTAGAAGACAGGCCGCCCACCTCACGGAAGATGTGCCGTACTACCTCAACCAAATGGGTATCTGCCCCAGTCGTCACTCTGGCATATCCCGAACGACTTTCGGCAGCTTCCAAGCTCTACGCAAGCGGACCCAGTCGGGCATGCAACGCTACACTAGCCAGTCAACACATAGACAGTTTCGTCGGCAGTTTACAGTGTTTAGCTCGACCAGGCTTGGATGCGATGAACATGCACGGGCAGGAGGCACCCGGTGTTGTCGTAATCACACCTTGCCGCTGGTTGAGTCAGCCTTGCCTGCGCGCTGTTGATTCAAAAGAACAACGCTCTGCTTCATACAGCGCGCCGTTGGCTCAAATATACAGTTCACAAGCATCCCAGCTTCTCAGGGGTTTGGAGTGATCCCAAAGGTAGATTCGAGGCATCCCAAAGTCCCCGAAAACCAGTGGTCCATTTGTATCTTCGAGTCGTCGAGCCGATGGGTTTGCATGCTGGAGAGTTGAGCTGCAGAGATCGTTCAGGAATGCTTGCACCAAGCTTGCATGGCACTCCAGTGCTGCAACGCAGACCAAGCGGCGCACGCGGGGCCCCAGCTGTCGCTGAAGCTTCAAGCTTGGCGGCGGAACCCGCGTGGAGCTCTTCGCTCCTTGAGTGCTGGATGGGTGGAGGCTTCCCAAATTCTTCAGCTGCTTTTGGCAGCCTCCATTCAGACGAATGTGTATCACTTCAATGCGGTGTTGGGTGCTGTTGCTCGGGCCAAGCGGTGGCCCCGAGCACTTCAGATGCTGCGCAGCATGCGCAACCATCCGGAGACCGCTGCCGACGTGGTGAGCTTGAATGCTGCCATCCACGCCGGAGAGAAGGGGAGACTGTGGCAGGTAGCGCATGCACTGCTTCAATTGCTGCAAGAACTTGGCGGCGTCCCAAGCAGCATCAGTTACAACAGCTGCATCAGCGCATGCAGCGGAAGAGCTTGGCCCCATGCCGTTGCTCTCGCAAATGCCATGGTCTCCGGTAATGCCGCCCCTGTCCCTAGGTTGCAATTTCGCTCACTCACGGGCATCTAATATATGGCTCAGCACGCGCAGGCGTATTAATCGCACGACAAAACTTTGTAACATACTACCCTTCATGTACCCAGGATGTGATTACTTGCAATGCAGTCGGCAGCGCATGCAGCGTGGTCGATTGGAGGCGGCAACTTGGCTGCACATCGGACAGCAGCTGTACGGTGTCAAGACATGTTCAGGAACCTGAGTGGTTCGACATACTCTCTTTCCTTGTAGCATGACATTCATAAACTAGCTGTACGGCAATCAACATTATGCCTCGAAAATGAGTTCTGACATTTCCCACCTCGGAAGGGCAGCCAAACACTGCCAAATGCCAAATAGATGTACCGTTCCAAGAACATCGTAGCAAAATGTGTTGAAAGGTCCGCGGCCTACCTATCGCGATTGCACGCTGCAGTGGTCCTGCCCGACGTCATCAGCCACAATACAGTTGCCAGCTCAGAGCCTGTCAAGGTGAGTCTCAGTTCACAACTTTATAGGGCTCTTAAGGGAAGGGGGGGGGGGGGCTCATGGGGGGTAGGTAACCCTAAACCCTAAATCCTTCTGGAGGGCGGTGCGCTGTGGGGCCTGTGTTTTTTTTTTTAGTGTTTTTGCACTGCACAAGTGTTTAGAACGCAGGTGTGCATGCACATGACACTGTGTATCCTGGATACTCTATAGTTTTGAGCACGCGCGCATACACGGGATAATAATTCATCCCAGAGACTCCATTCGTAGACCATACCTTGGCTGCCAGCAGAGTAAAACGAGAAAAAAAAGCTTTCCACGACTGTGGATACGTAACAGCAAGTGCAGCTCGCTCAGCAGCGATGTATTTCTTTTACCCCGTTCACGTCAGCACTCAGCTGTGCCTTGAAGCCCCTAGAATCCGGCTCCTTGGTTTCGCCTCTGAGTATATAAACTGGAGAGATACACACAGTGACACCGTGCTTTTCTTCTCACTGTCGAGAAGCCGGCTTCTTTCTGGCACACTTTGCGGCAGGCCTTTTCTTGAGACCATTCCCGCACGTGTACGGCTTGCTACGCTTCTTGTTCTTTCTATTCGCGCCTATGCGAGGCAGATACTCGGTTTTTCTACGCTCCACAGCAATGTTGTGTAACTTACAGAAGTACAACACCTTGAACGCATGTCGCTCGGGCGTCGCTTCATTGAGTATGCGCGCAAAGTTTCGGAACCAGGAGAAAACCCCCTCAGCTGCCGATGTGTTGATTTTGTCGACACGTCTAGACAACCTGACATGGTGGAGCGGATTACAGGGGCACGACTTCGTGTGCCCGTGCGAGTGGAATTTATCGACCACCCAAAACTTGATTTGCTTCAGTCGCTTTTGCTTGAGTGCGGACGGGTAGAAACTACAAGCGCGATCGACGATGACGCAGTTCATGTTCTTGTAGGAGGGAAGGATGGAGGTGATAGCGTCCTCCAGGATGTCGTTACCCTCGGGCACATGCATGGGTTTAGCCCACAGAATGCGCTTGTCTGATGGGTTCACAACCATGAACCAGCCATGACCGTATGGCTTTTTCTTGCCACCTGCTCGAGGCTTTCCCGCGTGATTGCGGGCGCTGGCACACTTCACATGCACCTTCGCGTGGCCATCACATACGACTTCTGACACCTTGGTCCTGTTTTTGGCGGGAAGGACGTGGCCGAGGACGTGTTGCTCGTACTTGGCCAAGATATCCGAGGAGATCTCATTGCCGAGGACGATCTTCATGTGAAGATGTAGAGGGGCCAGTTCATGGATGGCAACGTAGTACATGATGGCAGACGAGTAGGAGAGACGCCAACGGTTACTCATGTTCCCTGCGGTGTTGAGGCCAAAAGTGTGCTGGTAGACGTACTCTACGGCGCGGGCAGATAGACAGGCACGGAACTCCATGAGGGCATGATACTCCAGAAACGAGAGGCTGAATCCCACTTTGCTGTTCACGAAGAGTGCCTCCATGTTCTTCAGGTCAAGTGGACTGGCAGTATTGATTTTGCTGCTCGCGTCCCAAGCGAAGTTCGGACCAAATGTCCGGCGACACGAGTATGTGGTGCATCTAAAGGTGCGGACGAGGACAGTCTCGTAGCCGGTCATAGAGTACAGTGTTGCCTCTATCTCGTGCGCTTTCGCTAGAGCGCCTCCGCATTGGCATCGACGAAGATGTGTGGAGAAGACACGCCGCTCCTCCATGCAAGCCGCAGGCCGCTTCGTAGGCATGTCGAAGTCAAGTGTAAACCCCAGTTACACACTACGACTTGATAAGCCTGCGAATATAGAGAGTCTCATATGCAGCCGGTGCAATTGCAGTGCGACGATTGCAGAAACTCTTTTTACGAAGGCTGCCTGTGTGCATCGCGATCTATGCACGATCAAGCTTGTGTCACGGACTATTGCCGGAGGTCATGAGTAAGCGGCCATAGAGTCAGTGCGGTAAGCTGTCGTTTGTTAATTTGTTGGTTCTACAGTATACTGGCTTTTGTCAAAATTGGCCGGTCGCATACTAACTAAGGACGCAATCAGGACTGGGATTCAGTCTCACCGTGAAGATGGCGAGTCGCCTCTTCGTCCGCATCATATTCCTCTGCCTCGCGGCCTGACTCCATTCGGAGCATCTTGGATGGGGGAGATCGGATCAGCGGACTGGACTGTGAAACTTCAGCTCCTGCACGGGGTGGAGGGGTGGAAGCCGAAGCCCTCGACGCATCAGTGGTTTCATTCCCGAAGTCTTGATGCCAAGCATCGTAGGTAGCCCCGCGTTTGAGGTATTCTTTCTCTTCCGGAGACGCCAAAATCTCTACCATCATGTCGGCCTCCTTGGCTAAGTTCTCTTCGTACTTTGGGTACTTCACGAAACGTCCGTCCTTGTAGTGACTGTAGAAGGACTTGTTGTCTGAACGGAGCCAGTCTTCTGTGATGCCGCCGCCTTCGAAGCGACGAATCCGTTCGGACTGATGTTCGCTGGCTAAGCGGACGTAGACGGCGTTGTGGCCTGCAATGACTACAGTAGCTCTCTTCAGAATGGCCATGAGATGTGGCATGCCAGCGTCGTTCATGGATGTGTGGAACATTTGCAAGAACTGACCCCAAGAAATGTGATCGGCGAAAGGCAAGCCCGGCTCGTTTTCAGGCTTCCACTCATTGTTGAGAAGGATCCGTGTCTGGTTCCTGGCGAATTTGGCCGCTCTGTAGCGAGCATCCACCAACGTGGTCTCACCCACGTCGAGGAAGGATTTGATGTCCTCAAGACTCATGGAGGACAGAATCGGGTCGTCAAGGAGTACCGGCACAGTGATTTCACCAGGTCGCTCTCGAAAACCATCGATCTGTTTCGATCGCCTCCACCCTACCACCGCGCCAATGAGATTCCGAGATGCTACATGATGTCGGGCCATGGCGAGGGAGATCACGATGGCCAGAGGAGTTTTGCCAATGCCGGCACGACCCAAGAGTATGAGCCCGTGGGTGGTCATAGTTGGCAAGATGAGCGGTAGGATCTTGTTGACAAACTCGTGGTTGAGATCTGTTACCAGAAGGGGGAAGAAGAACTCTGGCTCAGCCTGCGAATTTCCGGTCGTCCGATTCTGACAGGCTTTGCTCACCACATGCATTGGCCAGGCATAGATGGGGGATTCATTATCCCGGACGTTCAACAAGGACCAAAGAAATTGTTCGTTTTTTCCATTAGCCAGGGGGGCGTTCATGTTGATGAAGTCGATGCCCTCCCGAAGCTCCTCTGGTGATGGATCCCAAGATGAGGCGTCCTTCTCCGATGTGCTCTTGCTACGTACAAGCTTTGTGCCAAGGGACTGTTTCATCCAGTGGTCGCCTTCGATGCCTTTCAACATGACGAGGAATGCGCATTTCACCAGGTCCGAGTTGGTGGCTATCTTGTAGTTCAGCAACATAGGCTTGTCCCTGCAGAACAGGCGGACCACACCCCACGGCAGAGAGATGCTTGAGTGGAAGAATTGGAGCACAGCGTTACTGCGAGTGTCGATGACGAGTTGCAACGAGCACGCCTCACCAAGAACGTCGCCAGGACGCACACTATCAGGCAGTAGTGCAGTGTTGTTGGGATCCTTGGCCATGATCTCCCGGATTTGGTCTTGATCTTCAGTACTGACGTCATGAATGAGGCGGAAGAACTCCTTGAACTTTTTGCCCTTTCCGTGAACCTCAATGAGCGGCAAGTCGGCGACGGTGTACTTGCCCTCTTGCACAGTGGTGTGGAAGTGCTCAGAATGGAACTTGACGAAGGTGCCCTGGGCTTGTGCGACACAATCCTGCATGACAACGGGCTACGGCAAAGTAATGAGTAGGAGAGTGCTCTACACACAAAGACCTGTGATGAGCAAACAGAGCACAGACATGGTGCAGTTGATCAAGGTGTGCAAATACGACAGATGTATCGCGAGAACACGTAGCTTATAAGCAACCATTCTGTTTATAAGCAGGCTCGTGTTTGATACAGCAAGAGAACAAGAACGGTTTAATTGGATGCATCCCACTGCTGTTTCGCAGTGCGAAGGCACTGCATCATCGATTTCGCGATGCGTTGCTTCTTGTTGGACCCTTCTGCCTGTGCTGACAAGGATACTACGGACTGCCAGGCATCATGCCACTCAGTGGTCCAGTTAGAAAAGTCTACATTCGACATGTTGGAAACCTCAGAGCTGGAGCTTGATGAGCTAGAGTCGTCGTCACTGCTGCTCTCACCCTGGTTCTCGTCATTGGTCTGGTTGCTCTGGGTCTCCTCATTGGCATCGCGGGACTCGGTGATGACGTCTGTTGGCTCCTCATTGGTGACGCGGGAATTGGTGATGGCATTTGTTGGCGTCGGCTCCTCATTGGTGTCGCGGAACTCGGTGATGGCATTTGTTCGTGTATGCACATCTGTGATGGCAAGGATCCCCTCATTGGCGTTGCGGGAGTCGATGACGGCGCTTGTTGGTGTTGACTGATCCGTGATGGCCAGCATGGACTGGGCGGTCTTTGCCTTGTTGGAGCCTTTTTTCGGTGTCGCCAACCACTTGTGAAGGGCATGCTCGGCTACAGGGCTCCATCCTCCATTGAGACCCGTGGGCAAGCTGAACTTTTTTTGCAAGTAGCACACGTGCGATAGTAACTGCCGCGATGTGATGCTCTGCTTGGTTTCGTGGGTAACGAGTGTTCCATCTGTGATCTTCGCAATGATGTCGGCGAGCCTTGGCATTTCCATGGTATTGTTGGGCACAGTGGGTGACGCGGAAGATTGAGAGAAGGACGTAGGTGGTTGTGCTGAACCACTGGCCATACTCAAGTTGGTAACCTCAAGCCTGCACACACCGCCCTCCACATGGAGGAATCCAGCTACTGGCGCCGAGCGCTTCATATCTAGGCCGCAATATACTACACAGAAAATGTTCGAATCTAAGCCGAAATACTCGTCATAACATTTCATGATTCAGCTGATAAGTATATAGTGAGCGACAATCTGTACTAGCGCGCGCACACATGCACCAAAAAAGAAACTAATGCAGCCGAGATGCTATATATTTATTATGTATATGATGTTAAAGGTTTAGGGGTTAAGGGTTACTTACTGCGTCTGCTCGATGGTTGCGAGCTTCTCGTTGCAGTCCAGGCACCTGGGGAGGGGGGGGGGGGTGTCTCAACAGCCTCAAGACCCTGCCCCCCCCCCCCCCCACCAAAAAAAAATCAATGCTTATAAACAAACCATCCCAAAAAGATCAGTGCTTATAAGCAAACCATCTGCTTATAATCAAACCCTGGCTCGACAAAAAAAAAAAGAATCAGAAGAAATCAAGTATGACAGTCAACCACGCCCATCTAAGCTGAGTATAGTTCAACTACTTAACTTCATCCATCCAACCTAAAACAACTGAAACTTCAACGAAGAGCCCATCTAACCTTCATATAGTTCAACTACCTAGCTTCACCCGTTCAACCTCAAACAACGAAATCTTCCTTAAAAAAAACGCAGGCCCCACAGCGCACCCTTCTGAATCCTAAACCCTAAACATACCTAAACATCCCTAAACATCCCTAAACCCTATACACCCTAAACCCTACAGGTACCTAGGGAACCTTAGGGAAGCTTAGGGAAGCTTAGGGAAGCTTAGGGAAGCTTAGGGAAGCTTAGGGAGACTTAGGGAGTGGTGGGGAGTATCAAGGCACCTTGGGTTGCACAACCCCCCCTTGAAACCCGCCTCCCTTAAGAACCCTAGAACCTACTTTTTAATTCACCATGTACAATGACAATAATCAGAATCATAATCGTAATAATACTAATAATCAAAATGATGGAAAAGTATTCAGCATTTGAAAGTATTGACCGTTTGAATGCTTTTTTTGGGACCTAGGTTGCCAACTCTTTGGAGAGCAGCCGTTGGAGCTGGGCTTTGGGAAATCTCCCTCGCATGCGGCAGTCTGCTTTGCGCCCCAGCTCGGTGTCTTTTGGCACCCTGATGAAGCTTTGTGAGGACTTGCGTCTGGCGAAGCCCTGGCAAGAATGCTGAGCCCTTTGAGCACCCAGCACTCTCTAGCATGTGGCTTGCAATTTTGCAAGCCCAACAGCTCCGAACTGCCGGAGGAGACCTGGGAGCTCGCGTTCTGCGCGCTGACGCTCCTGCGCTGCGCTGCTGTTCCGGAGACCATCGTTGTGTCGGGCAGTGCCATTGCTGCTTGCTTGAAGCACGCACTTTGGACAGCGGCTTTACGACAGCTCGGCGCTTCTGCGCCACGTGCTTCGCAGGTAGTATGCCACCCAGCCAATCCAGTGCTAGTTAACCTCAGCTGTAGTGTCCTGCTACCTTGCCACATCTTGCCACGCTTCCTGGGTTTTGAAGACCGAATGAGACCTCCGTCCAGGCTACAATGCGGCCATGAACGTTTGTAGTCCTGGGAACTGGAGAGCTGGGCTTGGATTGTTTCAGAGGATGGGCGAGCATCGGCAGGCGGAAGCTTGGATCACAACAGCTCCTATGAATTCCTAAACCCTTGGCAAAGAGGAGCCTCAGGATCCCAAGTCTCGCTATTTCTGCCGAGGAGACCGCAATCACCCGTTCCACTCTGCTCCTTGTGGCTGGGGGCCGCCAAGACCGCTGGCGCCACGCCTTCGGGGAGGGCTTCCGCAGCATGCGCGGAATGGGCCCCGCGCCGAGGGTCATTGCCTGCAGCAGCCCTCCGGCCCGTCTGTTTGAGGGTCATGGTGTGCCTTGCGGCTAAGGCTAGCGATAGTCATCCGGAGATGAAGTAGTTGACGAAGCTTTATGTCTGACCACAAATTGTGTTCCCATGACCCTCTGACTCCGTAGCCAGGTGTAGAACGAGGTTGTCACAGCCACGCCACAAAAATTTTTGGGAAGCCGCTGATGTAGAAAGAGATAAAAAAAGAGACCTGCGGCCGTCTGTGTCTGAGGCGCTCTCAGCGCCTGTGAAGACGCAGAGAGGTGGGCCGAGGCTTTGGACCTCCTTGGGGTGATGCAGGCGGATGGCCTCTCGCCAAATGTGTTTAGCTTCAGCAGTAGCATCAGCGCCTTGGAGAAGTGTGCGTGCTGGATCTTGTCGCTGGATCTCTTGCGCCAGATGGAGGGCCGAACTGTGCTTCCTAACGAAGTCAGCTTCAGCGGAGTGGTTGGCGCTTGTGAGAAGGCTGAGGGTCTCGCCTCGCACGGCCGCGGTACCGAGCTCCTCCCCACTCTGTCTCGGTCCTCGTGATCGCAGACGAGCCACTGTATCCTCGTGGGCTTGGGCTGCCCACCTTGGTGACGGTTGCTGGTAGTGCTGATACCTAACAGAGGTCGCGAAACTATTTTCGAGCTGAGCTTGTGCTTGGCCGCATCGATCTCGTCGTTGTCTGGTGGCTCAGTGAAAAAAAACGGGACAAGTGCTGGAGGAGTCAGAGCAGCCCCCCCCCCCCCTTTTGCTTTCAAAAGGCACCTCCAGATTCGTGAGCTTTCCAGGACTCGAGCGGTGAGCTACCGGAACGCTTCCTACCTTTGGACCTAGGCTGGTTGTGTGAGAGAGGATCTGAATCCTAATGAGCCATAAGTATGAACACTTCCGGCTTACAGTCTTATGGCAATACTCATCATCAGACCGGTGGCCCTGTGGCATCCCTTGTGCAGGGCGCCTACTGGGAGCCTGGAGCTTGGCATCCCCGGGAGCAGAGGAGCAGAGCACACCATGGCAGAGCTTGATGCATGTGGGGTTGGGCATCGTCTTGGTGGTCCACCCGAGGTTCAGATTTATGTAAATATATATGTATATATAGTTAATCCCTTTTCAGGTATGTAGGGGACATGTGGTACCTTAACCCGCCCTACTAACCAACAGTAAGCTTGGGGGTCCGAGGTTCAAGGTTCGCAAGGCCTTCAGCCCAAGCCGCTCCGTTCGGCGGATGCCTCAGCTTCGCCAAGGGGGAGAACTCAGGCTCCAGGGCTGAATTCTTGCTGTAGAGGAGAGGTCCATTGCTGGGTTGCTGGGTTGCTGCATCTCATGAAGTGCAAGACTTGCCTGAACTTGCATGCACTTCCTTGCACCTATTCGCAGAACGAGAGCGCCCGATGCTAGGAGCGTGGATGCAGGCCCTGTTTCGATCGTGAGGTCGCATCTGCTGCCGGACGCCTGTGCTCACTTGGTGGTCAGGATACGGAGGCCTGGCGCCCAACAAGGCATTACGCAACATCTATGTTGCTTCACAGCGTTTCAAAACCATCCCCTATGATGTCCATCAGGAGATGCAGCCAGAGGCACGAGCCTCATTGCTCCAGCTCCGGAGTTTGCACAAAACTTTCTGAGGCTTTGTAGGGTAATTTCTCAGCTGAGATCAGTTGAGGTTTCCGTTGCACCATTGAGCCGGCCTCGCGCAGATGAGCCTGCTGCAGCCCCATTCTGGTTGTTGCAAACTGACCGAAGAAATCCCTCTTGTATCGCCTTCATTCGCCTCGCCCCCGAGGTTCAGATTAATCTGCACAGCTTGCGATCCCTGAGTGGCAACAACTTGGTAAGCATGGCCGAGGACACCTGACCAACACCTGCAAACCATATAGCTTCGGTTGGAGTGCGGGGGTTGATAGGGGAAAGGACAGCACCATACGCTGGAGCCGCTTTTTGGGCGTTTGCTTGGGAAGCATGCGGCTATGCGTGCGCACTGAGTGGAGGCTTTCTGTATTCATGGCCCTCTAGAAACACACGCCGTGCACGTAGCGCGATATAGACAGTGGCAAGATGAGGTTTTAAGTGTTTACTATTATCACGTTCTTTTTGGACTTGTCTTTTTTGAATGCGGGGGAATGGGGGGAGGATTATTACAGCCAAGTCAACATGAGGTCTTGACCAGATGTTGCGCTTCTGCCGGTTTCCGGTTGCCTCGAGTAGTTGTGCTTCGGCTTTTTCGCCCAGGACACTGACATTGACAGCCTCGGTGGGCGGCGACCTTCAGAGGGGAAAGTCCCCAGATGCTGCAGCAGCGGGTCTCAACAGTCGGCTCAGGCCTCTGGAGGGCCGCCCGTGGGGTCACAGCAGGTCGGCTGCGAAGTTTGCAGAGACTTGACGTTGTGCACAGAAGAAGAAACTCTGATGTTGGTGTTGGTGTTGGGTTTTTGAGCTTCAGGAATCCATCTCGGGACCTCCTGTCCTACCAGGAGAGCCCGGAGCAGGCCTCGGACTCGGTGAACTCTGGAAGGTTGGGGAACCAAAGCAAACCAAAGCGGCCAAACAGTGAGGGGCCATCCTGCTTCAACTCTTTGCAGCGTTGGGGCGTCTTCTGGTGCTCTTCGCGATGACTGCCCCAGAACGGCCCCCACTCGACTGGTCCGTCGCAAGGTGGGAATGCCTAGGCTGGTGCCCTCCCAGGTGGGGCTCTCAGACTTTGCCCGCAGCAATCCCGCCATTTTGTGTAGGGCTGTAGGGTTCAGGACTGAGGCCCAGAGCCTTCAAGCCCGATCAAAAGACCATGTAGACAGAATGCAAACGTGGCCGTGACGGCCACCGTTGTGCACAGAATGGGACTGAACTGCTCCGAGCTTTGAGGTGGCTCCCGGACCTACAAAAATTGACATTCCCAAGGCGCCGTTCGCTTCTGATGCTCTCGAGACCAGAACGGCAAGTAAAAGATGACATTCCTTTCCTTCCCAGCATAGGGGGATTGTTCCACAAGCCCTCAGCTTTAAGCGGCATTGAAAAGGGAAAGACCCCGCCAATGCCAGGATATTGACGTGACCAGCGTGGAAGAGTTCTGGCAGCGAAGGTGCGGCATGGCATTCTGTTCAGGTCTACATTAAGTCACATGGGGGAAACCGAAAGTCGGGGGATCCCTTTTAAGCCCCCAAGTAGAACAGCATGCCCTTAAAAGGGACCCCCCAAAAGGGTACCCCTAGTTTCGGAAACCCCCATGAATGTGGGGGATCTCGTAAGTGCCTCTTGGTCTTTAAACACAGTCACTTAAGTTGAAACAGCTACAAGTACCTGGCTTCTGCAGGGAGGGCCCTCGTGAAGCCAGCTGGGGCCCCGGTGGCCGAGTGAGAGTCTGCTTTGGGACTTGCTGGGATGCAAAAAGGTGGAGCCTCCTGTGCCTGAGGTCATATCTTTTCCTTCGAACAGCTGGCCCAAGACCAGGCCCCCACTGTTCCCTTTCTCGCTGGCACTGGGAGTCCCAAATGCGTTTGTTGAAGGTGGCCTCTGTGAGCTGAGAGAGATGCTTGCTGAAGCTCTCCGGTACACAAAGACACCCCGTTCCATCGCCGCGGCATGTCACCTGAATTCCCCTTTCTTCAAATGGGGATGGCCTGCCTTTGCGGATTTTCGCAACACCATCAGGCCCCGCCCTGCACGAGCCGTGCACCAAGAACATGGCTTCTAGGTTTTCCCCGCTTCTCCACAACCCGACGATTTTCTGACCATTCAGTGATCGACTATCCTGTTGTGTTCTATATATCGGCCTGAGGCCATACTGTTCTTCTATTGTTCTTTGTTGTTTTCCGGTTTTGCGGGCCCTGCACTTGCGATGACGGTCTGTTTGGCCCAGACTGTGCATCGCGAGCAGGAGTGGCGTCAGTTAATGTCTGTTTAAGTGACAGTGAAGCTGCCTCACTGCGATGCCCGTGTACAGAGAGTGATATCGGTGATATCATCATCGAGTGGCCTTGCCAACAGGCAGTGCTGGACTCACATTTTTGCTATGGAGGCCCTCTTATGCAACGACTCACGGCTCACGGAATGTGCAAGGACTCGTGTACGACGCACATGAAAATGCCGTGGCATATACTTGTGGACGGGTAGTGTGTGACCTTGGAGTTTTCAGGGTGCCCAGCAGAGGCATGAGCAGAGGACCAGGCAGCCAAGAAACTGCCACCTGCTTTACGCTGGAGTCGGAGGTCATGGGGCCAGTCCTGGCTCGCTATGGCTTCTCACCGGACAAGAAGGGAAGCACGGAGATCAGGCCAAGCACAGTGCTTGCTAAGCGACTTGCTGCTTTTGCTCTTCCAGTTCGGTAGCCGATGGTTTTTTGAAGATCCTGGACTGCCAGGGCTGTCATTGCCGACCTGGCCAATCAGAACAAGGAGATCAGGCTCATGAACACCGAGATTCAGAAGACGCTGGGCTGGAAGGTGTTGGTGTCCCTAGCTTGGTGGACGCCTGACAGGCGCTGTATGTTCTGGCCAAGGATTGTGATCAGCAACTTTCCTGAGCTTAAAGGCGACAAGGCAGAGTGCGCGGGCATGCTAGCGGCTGGCGTGCAAGCAGAGCCAACAGCCTTTGCGGGAGGTTTCGCCCCAGCAGAAAGAGCAGAAAGGGCCACCTGCGAGCACAAACGCCAGCACAGCTCCCCCATCGGCCGATGAAGAAGAGGAGCGGCTTCCGGTGGGCTCTGATGCGCATGTTATGCGGGTACATGTGGGTAAGCATCTTTGGTTTTGCCTAGCCCGCTCTCGCCTTCTGCTGAGTGTGCCTGTTGGCCCTATGGCTCCACGCTCCGGCAAACCCGGAGCACCTGAAAGATTTCAAAATCCTGTACTGCTACTTCAAAGCTTGGTGTGGCTCCTTGTGACTCCACGGAAATGCCTTGGAGGACGCTTCCGCAGAGTCCCCAGTGAGCGATGGCGCGAGGCGCGAACCGCCCCACCTTGCTCGAGTCAGGCTTGCCCACGAGGGTCCGAGTCTTCTGGTTCCTGGGCCGGGGGTGTAATCAAGTAATTACATGTAAAAACGTCAGGGCAGCCTTAGTCCGATTCACTGCCGACACTGCTCACCAATTCCCTCGGAGTCATTGGAACTGTGCCTAGTATGCATTTCTCTGCAGCCGCGATGCCTAAAGATACTTGAATGCTGGTTTCGCTGCAACTCGCTTTATCAAGTCATCGCCAGGACACGCATTGGCCCGAATTGGCCCCACTCCGACACAGACGTTGACATAAACGGACAATGACATACCTACTGTACACTGTCTTGGTCGCTGGGCCGTGTGTCCATTCTGCCCATGCCTTTGGTAAATGTTGCATCGGCTTCTGCTTTGGGCCGTGGTCAATGCAGAGGAGGCGCTGGAGGCCCTTGGCCCTTGAGCTGAGCTGTTCAAGGTAGAATGCTCCTGTGTCGGTGCTTCTCCCCAAGCACAGTCGGAGATGCAGAGGCGCACTTGAATTGCCACAAGCTCATGGAAAGCCGGCTCCGACGCTCAGCCTTTCATTCGGGCTTGTGGTGAAGGATGTTTTTCTGCGCTTCTGAGCTTGTCAGCCTTGTCAGCAGCGAGCCTAAGCTCAGGAGAAAGCCACATCCAGCAGCCCATCTGTCAGCAGAAGGTGGCAGGATCGGCTTTCGAAGAGTGTGCTGGGACGATGTAAGGCGTATTGAGGTGCAGCATTGCAATGCATGGCGACGCATGAGACCCGCAAAGTACACATTCGGCGCGGAAGGCATCTACTGCTCCCGGCTGCTAGAGGCGGGAAGCGCACGGAAGCGCATGGAAGCCCTAGGAGGGTCAACTTGCAATATCTTGCAAGCCACGCGACAGGTGGAGAGACCTCGACCCTTGGCGGGTAGCTGCCCACTGGACCCTTCGCGGGTGGCATCGCCAACCCACGCAGCACGGCTCACTCGGGGTGATGATGGCATGACATGGAGCCGTGTTACAGTGCTGCATGGCGATGGTTCTGAATACGACACATTTCGAGCCCTTCAAGAATTCAAGGAGGTACTTGCCAGCCGGAGGTGTTGTAGGAGAGTGTAGCAACGTGCCACATGTGGCGAGCCGAGGCAGTCGAGGGTCATGTTCCGCAGACCAACGGCACCATGCAGCACCGCAGCCTGCAGCACCTCGCCTTGGGCGTGCTGCTCCTGGCCGCCTACCAATCTCAGCTTGTGCTCATCCAGCATCTCGTGGAGTCTTTCTGGCATGCAGCTCATACCTTCCTGGTTCATGTCGACCTGAAGTCTCAGCAACTGGAGCGCCAGCTCCGAGACTGGTCTGCAGCTCCGAGACTCTCCAACGTCCACGCGGCTCCGCCTTCATTTTGTGGGGGGGGCTGGTTTGTGTTCGTTATGACGATGTATGACGTGCCTCCTTTCCTGTATTGTTTTCCTGTTTCTGCCCATCGCAGGAGTTGCCTAGCTTCCCAGAACTAGTGACTGTGCGCTCTAAAACTTGTTGATCAGGCAACCTGCGCTGGACAAAAGCAGATCTTCGAAACCTGTGTTCCAGTCGCGGCCTTCTGAGGTGGAGCGTGCCGTAGCCGTCCGCCGTTCCGGTGCCTCTCTCCTGGCGGCAGAGCTTTACGGCATGAGGAGGCCGAACGGGGTGTGTTCAGGCATGCTGTAGATTTGGAGCTTCGGGATCAAATAAATACATAAATAAATAAATAAATAAATATATATATATATATATATATATACATATATATATATATGCTCACCCCCCCCCCCCCCGACAGACCCCGGAAGCGAAAAAAAGGGCTGAGGGCGCGACGGACAGCATAGCTGCACACAGTAGCCAGACACGTTAACACACAATAGAGCATATTTTTTTCGATTAGTACGGCTTTGTGTTCGCAATGAAAGATGCAGACAGATGTGAGAAGGACGCATGCTGTAAGGACCTGAACAATTTGCTCGACATCGTGGATTGCTATTAATTTTAATAAGGTTGCTCTTAGTTTTACTTGGGTTCCTATTAAGTTTATTAGGATTCATAGGCTTCGTATGAGTTCAATAGGAATCCTATTTAATCAATAGGAACCCCATTAAAATGAATGAGAACCCTATTGAAATTAAGACGAGTCTTTTTTGAAAACTTAGTAAGAATCCTAGTACAATTAATAAGAACCTGGTTGAAATACGTAGAAGCTCCTATTAAAATTTCTTGGCGTCCTAAATTCAGAGGAACCATAGGAAGGCCATTCAAATGAATAGGAACCCTTTTGAATTCATAGGAATGCTATTAAAATTAATAGGAACCCTACAAAAGAATCTATGAATTCTCTTTAAGAGTAACAGGAATCCGTGTAACATGAAGATGAATCCTTTTAAAGGATTAAGAGGAGCCAATAAAATTCTATAAAAAAAGTAATGCGGACCCTCCAAAACTTAAAACACTAAGAGTCGTACTGTTAGAATGATAATAAACACTATTAAAACATTTAATTAACAGGATTGCTAAAAAAACAAATGAGAGTTACAATAACATTACTTCGAGTCCAATTGAAATGAATAGGGAACAGGATTTAAAAATATAATCGGAGCACTGTGGAATCTAGTAGGAATCCTATGAACATTATTAGGAATCCTGTCAACATGAATGAGCAACCCTGTTAAAATGAATACGAAGCCTATTCCAATTAATCAGAAGCCTTTTTAAATGAATAGGAAGCTTGTCAAAGCAAAAGGAACCCAATTAGAAATTGTAAGACATCTTATGAAAATGAATAAGAAGCCTATTGAAATTAATAGGAATATGTATAAAATTTGTTATGAAGCTTTTTAAATTTCTAAGACTTTTATTAAAACTAACTAGGAAGAAGAATGTTATTACAATTACTCAGAATCGTATTCCAATTATTTGGCATTTGATTAAAATGAATAGGAATCAATATTAAACCCAATAAAGTCCTTTAACAGGCATCCTTTAAAATCTAATACGAACCCCATTAAACAAATACAGGAATCCCATTGCCATTGAAAATCACTTAGAATGCTAGTAAAATGATTAGGAGTCTTGTTAATTAAATAAGGACTCCCGTTAAAGTGAACAGGAGTATTATTAAATTTAATAGGCAGCCTAAAACATAATAAGGAATCATATAAGAACCCCTGAAAAACTCTTATCAAAAATCCAGTTTCTAAAAATCCAAAAATCCAAACATCCAAACATCCACCCCAAAGGTTTGGATTTTTGGAAACTCGAGCGGGAGCCTCAAAATCCAAAAATCGAGCAAATTCCTCGAGTTTCCAAAATTCCAAAAATCCAAAAAAATCCACCCCAAGGTTTGGAATTTTGGAAACTCGAGGAATTTGCTCGATTTTTTGATTTTGAGGCTCCCGCTCGAGTTTCCAATTTCATATTTCTCATGAGTGTAGAACCCCTAAAAGAATCTCACCAAAACCTGAGTTTCCAAAAATCCAAAAATCCAAAAATCCCAACCCAAGTTTCGGATTTTTGGAAACTCGAGGAATTTGCTCAAAATCCAAAAAAACCCAAAATTCCTCGAGTTTCCAAAATTCCAAAAATCCAAAAATCCCAACCCCAGTTTCGGATTTTTGGAAACTCGAGGAATTTGCTCAAAATCCAAAAAAACCCAAAATTCCTCGAGTTTCCAAAATTCCCAAAATCCAAAAATTCCACCCCAAGGTTTGGATTTTTAGAAACTCGAGCGGGAGCCTCGAAATCCAAAAAAACCCAAAATTCCTCGAGTTTCCAAAAATCCAAAAATCCAAAAATCCCAACCCAAGTTTCGGATTTTTGGAAACTCGAGGAATTTGCTCAAAACCCAAAAAAGCCCAAAATTCCTCGAGTTTCCAAAATTCCAAAAATCCAAAAATCCCAACCCCAGTTTCGGATTTTTGGAAACTCGAGGAATTTGCTCAAAATCCAAAAAAACCCAAAATTCCTCGAGTTTCCAAAATCCAAAAATCCAAAAATCCCAACCCAAGTTTCGGATTTTTGGAAACTCGAGGAATTTGCTCAAAATCCAAAAAAACCCAAAATTCCTCGAGTTTCCAAAAATCCGAAACTGGGGTTGGGATTTTTGGATTTTTGGAATTTTGGAAACTCGAGGAATTTTGGGCTTTTTTGGATTTTGAGCAAATTCCTCGAGTTTCCAAAAATCCGAAACTTGGGTTGGGATTTTTGGATTTTTGGATTTTTGGAAACTCGAGGAATTTTGGGTTTTTTGGATTTTGAGCTTCCTCGAGTTTCCAAAAATCCGAAATTGGGGTTGGGGTTTTTGGGTTTTGGAATTTTGGAAACTCAGGAATTTTGGGTTTTTTTGGATTTTGAGCAAATTCCTCGAGTTTCCAAAAATCCGAAACTGGGGTTGGGATTTTTGGATTTTTGGAATTTTGGAAACTCGAGGAATTTTGGGTTTTTTTGGATTTTGAGCAAATTCCTCGAGTTTCCAAAAATCCGAAACTGGGGTTGGGATTTTTGGATTTTTGGAATTTTGGAAACTCGAGGAATTTTGGGTTTTTTTGGATTTTGAGCAAATTCCTCGAGTTTCTAAAAGTCCAAACCTTGGGGTGGAGTTTTTGGATTTTGGGAATTTTGGAAACTCGAGGAATGTTGGGTTTTTTTGGATTTTGAGCAAATTCCTCGAGTTTCCAAAAATCCGAAACTGGGGTTGGGATTTTTGGATTTTTGGAATTTTGGAAACTCGAGGAATTTTGGGTTTTTTTGGATTTTGAGCAAATTCCTCGAGTTTCCAAAAATCCGAAACTGGGGTTGGGATTTTTGGATTTTTGGATTTTTGGAAACTCGAGGAATTTTGGGTTTTTTTTGGATTTTGAGCAAATTCCTCGAGTTTCCAAAAATCCGAAACTGGGGTTGGGATTTTTGGATTTTTGGAAACTCGAGGAATTTTGGGTTTTTTTGGATTTTGAGCAAATTCCTCGAGTTTCCAAAAATCCGAAACTTGGGTTTGGTTTTTTTGGAGTTTTGGATTTTTGGAAATTCGAGGAATTTTGGAGTGGTGCTCTTCCCCCCCCCCCCCGCTTCCTGGACAGATCGGAAATACAATTCCGGGGTCTGTCGAGGGGGGGGGGGTGACCATATATATATATATGTATATATCCCTCCTTTCTTTGGAGCTCTTCGAAGTTGAGGCTCCCAGGACTGCTTGCGGCCCTGGGAGCTGGATGCGGGATCCGGGGCGAGGGTTTCGAGACGTTGCGGGGCATGCCGGGGGCTTGGGTCATCCTTCTTTCCGAGGATTCAGGTTGCGCAGATCATGCAGATATTCTGACATCCTTCTCTGGGAGCATAGAGGGCTCAAGATGCAGCATCCTTGACCAGGCTGCTAACCCTCTCCAAGACCTGGCACTACTTCATGTCTCTCGGCTGTCGTGGTGGACCTGAGCCCCGAAGCACATTTTCTAGACGTCCCTGTGTCAAGCTCGTCTTTGTGCGGTGTCTTTCTCTGATGTGGGTAAACCTAAGGGCAGCTACGCCGAAAAAGCCTATCACACTCTAAGCTCCTCAAAGAGGCACTTAGAAACCCTTGCAGCATCCTAGAGCCGCCTATGTCACGAACGCCCAAATCCATTCGGGGCTGAATCCCCTGAGGGCCGAAACCCCGAAGATCCCCGAAGCGAAATTCTAAAACCTTTGTCATGATTATGACAACATGATGAAAGATATTTCGTATTATTCTGCCGTTACTTTGCGGCATTTTGACCAAGGATCCTGTCGGACAGCGACCAACTGGCTGGAAGCTCAGATGCAGGGAGTCTAAGATGTTGGGCGCGCAGCCGTAGTCGTCCCCTTGGCCAACCCCAGCCACCCAAGCCTTTCACGATTAGGGTTTAAAGTTTAGGGTTGCCCGAAAGTGGGAGGGCTTAGGATGAGGGTACGGGTTTATGGAGTCGTCATTTCCCGGAGCTTGCAAAGGGTCCTTCGGATCGCGCGTGTTTTGCCGTCTGCCGGGCTCATGTAGGCTTCGGGGCCCGGGCGCCATGGCGCACAAGTCCAACCCGTACAAGAAGGCATCGAGCTGCTGTTGGTGCCATGACCATCTTGTTTGGTACTCAATCCGTCCGCAACTTGTTCTTCGCCAGCTGAATCTCCGCAACCCTTGCCATAGCTTGCTCTTGTCCCTGCCTTGCAGGCGCGATCGAAGTTTCGCTGGAAGTGGAAGAAGACTCCTGCCTTAATTCACTTGCCCAGGCCTCTCTTCGAAGAGCAAGATAATGTGCTGGGAGCTCTTTGCATCTCTTTCTTGCAACTTGCCCTCTTGCCCTGCGCCGGCGCTCCTGGCCTTGTACGACTCCGTCATACAGCGGCGATGCCACGGAGAATGTCCTTGAATGCTTTGTGATGTTTCTCAGAAAGGCCCCTTTACAAGTGCAAGTGTCTCACTGAGCTGGACTCAGGAAGCGCACCCGCCGATTGCAAAAGAAGCGCCGAAAGATGCGCCAGCGCTCCAAGTGAGGAACAATGAGCAAGAGCTTGGTGAGCTTGAATGGGAGGCTGCTGGGCGTGTCAAGTTCTTATCAGTCTGGGATTCTAGCTGCTAGCTGTCCTGTGCAGAAGCCCCCATGGCACCAGGCGATGAGCGTCGATACTTCATGTCATTCCTGGACAGTGATGGCCGACCGAAGCACCCGTACTGTAGATTGACGCCTCCGAGCTTGGATGCCCGCTGCAAAAAGCAAACTCTGAAAGCACGGGGGAGCGCGCGTTGAGGGTTGGGGGTTGCCCTTGAGGGTTTAAGGATGTACAGTCGATGCTTCTGGTTTGCCCGATTCTGGACTGTCGTGCTCTGGAACTGCTTCAGGGGAGGAAGCTCGCAAGAGCGTAGCTTTCGTTCTCGGGTTCGAAGGTCAGATCGTGTAGAGCGGAGCAGTAAGAGGCGGGATGCACCAGCAAAAGCAACGCAGGATAGCTGGGCATGTAACATGGTGCCCGCCCTTCACATCTGACGCCCCTCTATTGACACCTTGCTAGGGTTTTGAGCTGATTTAGGATTGTTCGGCTAGAGGCTAAAGAGTGCAGTGCTTTCGACATGTGGGCTCAGGTCCGCCCTGCGGAGTACCTGCAACGTTGCTTGGCCGTGAAGGCTGCAGGAGTGCTGAGCATGCTGCACAGTGGTGTGCGCGATGTGAGTGCCAGCTGCGACCATGCCATGCCTCAAGGGCTGCATCCGGGCCACAGGGACAGAGCCAGGAATCTCATTGGACTCAGTGAACCTGAGCTGAAGGTGTCCTGGCTCTACACGAGGGCAGAAGCTTCATCAACACCGAGGTGCAGAGTTTGGTGAAGTTTGGTGTTGCTGGTGTTTAGGGGAATGACTGTGACAGTCAGGTGCTCGGCGTCAAACCCAAGTCTATTGCTGCACCTTGGCATCATCTTGCAAGTGACTTCGTAGGGTAAGGACTGGTCAAAGAGGCTGCACAGGTCGAGTCACTCCCACCCGAGTCATCTGCAGGCTCAGCAATGAGAGTCCAACAGCTGCCCATGGATGTTGTGACTTCCTGTGCGCTGGGAATGCGAGCCCTCGAGCCCTTGGAATTTTGAAAGTTGATGGACCCAGGTTGAATGTAGCGATCGCGTTCATTCCGTTCGGATGGGCGGCCATGAGGCGCGCACACACTCACACACGGACACAGACACATAGACACACAACACACAACACACAACACACAACACACAACACACAACACACAACACACAACACACAACACACAACACACAACACACAACACACAACACACAACACACAACACACAACACACAACACACAACACACAACACACAACACGCGCAACACACGCAACACACGCAACACACGCAACACACGCAACACACGCAACACACGCAACACACACAACACACGCAACACACGCAACACACACACACACACACACACACACACACAAAACACACGCAACACACACACACACACAAAACACACGCAACACACGCAACACACACGCACACACAAACAACACACACACACACACACACGATCATGCAGAGGACACAAGTTTAGAAAAACGAAAGAAGTTCCCCAACACGATGGCTAATCAAC